CATACTTGTCCAGGCAGCAAGTCGTTTCCTCCATCTGTTGGACAAGTAGAAGTGCTGGACAAGTATCATTTTCAAATATGTACACTGAATTAATGTATTTGTTGCTTATTTGTAGATAATTAGAGGGATCATTTTGTAATGTTAAATCTAAAACTGATATGGAATATCAAATTAAATTAGAATATCATTTAATTATTAAAGAAATAGTCATCTAGTAATCTGAGGTTAACTATGTTTCTCTTATTATTTATCCATTTCATGAATTATTGTCACTCACCCAAATGTTTCAGTGGGAACATGGGAGCAAGAGTAAACTTTTGATTCAGAACACAGAGCATTCTAGCCCATACTTACCACTGGACTGTGAGTAGCTCTCCTAGCCTCTTTAGTCTTCAGTTCCCACATCTGTGCAACTGAGGCTGGAATTAGGTAACCCATGGCAGCAGATTAAATGTCTTCTTTTGATAAAAACCAAGTTTTTTTTTTAGTTTTTTTTTTTAAAGATTTATTTATTTATGCATACAAGAGCTGGGGTGTAGGTCAGAGGTGCAGAAGGGTGAGAGGATTCACCAGAAACAGAGTTGGGAGCATAACAGGCAGATCTACTGAAATACACTGCTGGGGGGAGAAGCTAGTGAGACAGGAGAGGTCTGCTGTGCCATATGGGTTAGCTCCCTGGCCCAGGATGCTCTCTCATGCTGCAGTGGCTGTGGATTGCTTCATAGTGCTGAGACTTAACCCCTTGCACCACCAGGGAGCAAATAAATAAACACTATTTGCTATTTAGGGAGCTCATGTTGTTCCTTTTTTTGTTTTTTTGTATGTTATAAATAGTCCTTCAAATTTTTGGTTTTCAAACGCTAAACAGTAGACAGCAAGGATTCTGAAAATAGTAGGTGGGTATAATAGACAGTATCTCCTCTGATAATGAATAATAGCTTCATAATAAGTTAAACTGCTATACCCTTGAACTAAAGAGGAAGTCCTGTGTGGGTGGGCAGAAGGAGATTAAAGATAGAAACATAAAGGGTTCCAGTAGAGAATCAGTGAAATTATGATCCCTCAGAAAGACTTCATAATTCAAATATGAAATGGTTTTTAAAAAAACCAAAATAAAACAAAAAAGTTATTCTTTTGATGATAAGTAGGATTTGTTTTTGTTTTTACTCTATTTCTTCCCTCCAACACAAAATCACAAGTCTTTAAATGATTGTGTGTGTGTGTGTGTGTGTGTAGGAATGTGAGATAGGAAAGGCAAGAGGTTGACAAAGAGAGGATAAAGAAGTTATTTGTCTGTCAAAGAAAATCAGAAAGAGATTATCTACATTTCTCTGCTAGTGCATTGGTGAAGCATTTTTACAAGTCTCTGCAGAACTAAAGTATTTAAGACAAAATGCAAGGTAATATATTTCACACTTAAAAGCATGATAGGCTCTAGCTTGCAGGTAAGGTGAGGTGAGGGGTTTAACAAACTGTGGAGTTTTAAATATCTCTAATACAAAGTGCTTTGGCTGTAAAAATAACTCCAAAGAATCATGATATGACCTAAAATATAGACAAAAGCTGTTTATCTAAACAGTACAAAGTGTTGTTTCAACAAAAATCCATTCCCCCCTGTACTATATAATATCTAATCACTAATGCACCAGTCCCTGTAGTTCACTTCCCATTTTTGATTCTGAAGTGCCCTTACAGGAGGTTAGCCTAAGGGCTCTGATATTCTTTAACACTGTGGGGAAAGAGGAGCCTTTTGATATCTGATACAGACACATTCTCTCTACCAATCACAAGCACATCATTCCATACAGAGATGTTCTATGGAAGGGTTTTTCAACAATGCAGGTAAACTAGAATTCTAAATACCATTACATCTGTTCAGCTAGTCATTTAAAAATTATTTATTGCATTTATCTAGGGATTGGGCTATCATTCTCAAAAAAGGTAATCAGGGCCTCCCTGGTGGTGCAGGGGTTAAATCTCAACACTATCAAGCTATCGACAGCCATCGTGACAGGAGTTCTATCCCTGGCCAAGGAGCCAACCCACACAACACAGCAGACCTCTCCTGTCTCGCCTGGTGCTCCCCTCTGCAGTATATTTCACTAGATCTGCCTGTTCTGCTCCCCATTCTGTCTCTGGTGAATCCTCTGAACCCCCCTCCTCTGGCCTATACCCTAGTTCTTGCATGCATAAACAAATAAAAACCTTATCTCAGTGAAGTTTGTATTCTTGAGAGGAAGATTGATAATAATGAAACAAAAACATTGTTTTAAACAGTGATGAGTACAGTGATGAAGAATAAATAAAGCCGGGCTCAGTCTTTATAAAGTAGACCACGTTTGTGTCTATTTTTGATTGTGTGGTCAAGGAAGACCTTGCAGAGGTGACATTTGAGCTGAGACTGAAATGACAAGAAGGAACCAGCAGGCAAAAAGAGCAGTTCATGAGCTAAGAACAGACAAGAGAATGGTTAATAAAGCTGGGTGGAAACTGGCGACTTTCAGCAACAGTAAGAAGTTATCTCTGGCCAAGGCATCATGAGCACGTGTAGGAGACGCAGTCCCAGAAACAGGTAAGAAGTTTTGCTTTTACTCTATGTACGATTGATGTCCATCGGTGGCTTCAAAACACAAATGGGGAGTGGGTTATTTAATACAACTGACGTTTAAAAATACAATATTCCAAAAATACAACACTGTGCTTCAATTTTACTTCTTTGAACCTAATTTCTAATTCCCCTGAGGGTCAAACGACCTGACAGCCTGTTTGCCCAGGCTGTTTGCGTTCGCCGCCGGCTTGTTTGCACCCGACACCCTGCTGTTGACAGCCTCGGAGGAGCGTGTGACAGTTGGCAGGCGCATCCAGGCACAGCCTGAGCCAAATCGCCGCAGGGGCCGGGACTGCCGCAGGGGAGGGGAGGGGAGAGGAGGCTGTGGCTGCGCGCTGGGAGGTCCCGGCCCCTGCCGCTAGCCTGGCGGCGGAGCGCTCGCAGAGCTGGGGGTCAGAGAGCGGCCCCCACGCGCTTCCCCGGGGCTCCTCCTGGTCCCTGGGGGCCCCATCACGAAGGTTCTCCGGCTCTGTCTGGATTTGTCATTGGAAACAATGGTGGCTCGGGCTGGAGGCAATGGAGCGAGTGCTGGGGGACGGGCACTACTAAGGAAGTTTCCCTTTTTTGGTCTAGGTCGCCCGGCCGCGGGCCCCAGCGGCTGCACCCCTGCGCCGGCAGGGGTTGATGTAAATCTGGGTTCTCTCAGGCCTTCGGCCAGGGCCTGCGGCGCCGCGCCCCTCCGCGGATCCAGAGCCGGGTTTTAGGATTCGCTACTCTGTGGAGGCCGCGCCCCGAGGCGCTATCCCGAGCCCTGGACCCCGGGTGAAGGGGGCTTGGGGCCCACGGTCGGTGGGTGGAGGCTCATCCGCGACTTTCCTGCCTTCGCCCGGCCACCGACTGCTTGGGGCCGCTCTGCTCCGAGTAGGCAGCCCTGCCGAGGCGACCCGCAGAGCTGGCTCTCGCGGGCCCTGGCGTAGCGAGCGGCCCAGAGCGCGTTTCCCGAGGGAAACCACGGCTTCGCAGCCCGAGAAGCGCCCTAACCTCAGGCTCCTGCTGTGCTTTCAGATCTCGGCTTCAGTGGCACTCCTTGCACCTCTGCTCACCAGGCCGTCAGAACTAGTGTTATAGGACAGGGAGAGGGGCAGCCCAAGCCCCGCAAACCTGCCTATTCTAAATGGGTTCTGCCATCCGCCGCATCAACACAAAACATATGACACTTTAATGGGAAGGATCTTTAATAAAAACTAGGAAACTATACAGGTGAGGCAAAGAGTCTAGTTTCTAAATGAAGCACCCAAAGTTACCCATCCCCTCGTGGGTAAAACTCCATCCATATGGGGTCGGCCCAGAGCAAGGCCCCAAAGCCTGCCACAAGTCTAAAACATCTTCCAGTGGGGACCCACAGAAAAGGGTCACAAACAACCAGACAAGCCCGGAAGGAAAAGAGCAAAATCAACATCAAGATAAAAGCTGCCATTGTCACCTCCCCACAGGTCTCACCCACGTCTGTGTCACCCAGTCCACGACCCAAAGACAAGCGCCGTTTCTTCACGTGTCTCTAGGCTCCATGCGCCTCCTCCAGGTCTCCTGGCTCCATCCTGCTTCCTTCCTTCCTCAGTCTCTTGCAGCTTCTTCTCTTCCTGCTCAGCTCCACCCTTCCTTGGGTGGGGCAGGGAACCTCCCCCTTTCCTGGGGACCACCCTGTTACACTAGCAGCCCACTTACTCTCCATCATACCACCCTGATTTCATGCTCAGCGGGACATTTACTTTAGTTTCGTGTACCTTTTTTTTTTAAAAAAAGATTTATTTATTTATGCATACAAGAGTTGGGGTACAGGACAGGTGCAGGGGGTAAGAGGATTCACCAGAGACAGAGTGGGGAACAGAACAGGCAGACACAAACACACTGCTGAGGGGAGCAGCGGGCGCGACAAGAGAGGTCTGCCGCGCCATGTGGGTTGCTCCCTGGCAGCCGGGGATCGAACTTGTGCTGCAATGGCTGCAGACGGCTTCATAGGCTGTGTCTTCACCCCTTGCACCACCAGGGAGGCCCTCGTGTGCCTGCTTATGTTTATTTTCTGACCGTGGAGCAATGGCCGTGTGCTTCCCGCACAGTGTCCAGTCCCATCGCCTGGGACCGGGCGGACCCCGGAGCCCGCTGACCACCAGGTCGGTTGCGAGACCACAGCGGGGGCCCGCGCTGCCAGGGCTAGAGGGGACAGCCGGGTTGGCCGGGGCGGGGCTTGCTCATGCCCCGCCCACTGCCCCGCCCCTTCCTCTCCCTCCCCTGGGCCGCCGGGCAGGCGAGGTACCCTGGGCGCTGTTTTTCTCTCCGGTCTCGCTCGCTCTCGCTGCAGCTGCTGTGAAAACCCGGAGCGGCGGCGGCCGGAACGCAGGAGCGGCTTCACCCCCGGCGCCTCCCCGACCGCCCTGGGCGCCCGCGCTGGGCATGCTCAGTCCGCCGGGCCGCCTCAGCTCTCGGAGTAGGAAGCCTGGGCGCTTCGGCCGCGCGGAGCCGCCGAGGGGGGAAAATGGAGCCCTTCACCAATGGTGAGTGGGCGTCCTGTGGCGCCGGGCCCGGGGCTCTCTGGGGCCCAGGGGGTCGAGGGGAGTCCTGACACAGGGGAGTCGCGGGATCGGGCTGCGGGCGCCCCATCCCGGGCTCCCCGCGAGGGCTTGGGCGGGTGAAGGGGGCCGGGGGGCGGCCGGGGCTGGGGGCGGGCGGCGGCCGCGCGGGCCCGGGGGCCGGCGCGCAGGTCGGGCGGGCCCTGCCCCTGCCGGGCGTGGGGGCTGGGCGCGGCCATGCCGGGCGCTCCGCGGCGCGGCCAGGTTGAGCCAACGGCAAAGTTTGGGCTGCTGCGCGCGGAGGAGGAGGCTGCGGGAAAGTTGGCAGCCCGGGCAGCCCCCGGGGAAGGCGGCGTCGGCCTCGGCTCCCGGGCCGGGGGAGGGAGCCGCGCGCGGCCCCTGCCAAACCCAACTTCGGAGGCGCGCCGGGAGCTGTCCGCCTGCCCTTCAGCGAGTTGCCGCCGTGACTTTTCCTAATTGGGCGAGGTGGGGGTGGGGGCCGGCAGGTTAATTTAGTGGAAGGAAGGGAAACGTGCGCTCGGGAGGAAGTCCTGCCCGCGTGCCACCCTTCTGCCTGGCGCCGAGGGCGCGCGAGCTTCCTTTCGCCCGCTGCCGACGGTGTCAGTGTATCAGGTGAAGACTCTAAATATCAAGGGTCCGTCACGATGATATTGGTGGAGGAAAGAATAGAACACCGAATGCACAGTGTGGCTCGAGGCGAGGGTCAGCGCAGGAACCTGCAGGCTGTCCTGCAAAACAGCCACAGCCCTTTCCTGAATGGAGAGAAGAAATCCCACCCTCGTTAAAACGATCGCTTTTGTTTGGACCAGAAGTGCCTGAGTCACAAATAGGGGAGAGATGGCTTAGATTTTGTGCCATAGTTGCTTGTGAGATGGGAAGTAGGGAACTTGCAGGTAAGGGAGAATTTACACAAAAATTCAAGGAGTCACTGTCTAGTTAACATGTGTTTTTCTGCGGGTAGTTTGTCCCTGTGATGGACGCAATCTACCCCTGTTTGAGTGGATCAGTTATCACCCAAGAGACAGACACGTGGTCCACTATATTCCAAACTCCAGCTAGACTTTGTTATATTCTGGTCCTTCATTCATGAGACTTGAACTACTCTTTATATTCTCCCTGTTCTAATTCAGAATGCCCAGTTCTACTACCGTCTTCCCGTCTGTGCTCTTCAATTAAACTTAATGATGACAGCTTTAATTCTGAATTTTCTTTTTCATTTAGGTTCCATTTGTAATTACTAAGGTTCTAAGAATAATCTAGTAAAGTTACTAAGAGAAAAGGAAGATTTGAGCTTAGAGACCATCTAGTACTTTAATGTTAAAAATATGTTTAATACAAATCATTAAGTCTTTGTTCTAGGTAAAATGCTCAGAGCTTCCCATTTGTAAGATTTTATTTATTTTTTTAAGAATTATTTATGCATACAAGAGCTGGGGTACAGGCCAGAGATGTGGGAAGGGGGGGCGAGGGATGAGAGGATTCACCAAAGACAGAGAGGGGAACAGAACAGGCAGATTGACGGAAGTACACTGCTGAGGGAAGCAGCAGGCGAGTCAGGAGTGGTCTGCTGCACCATGTGGGTTGCTCCCTGGCCAGCTGGGGATCGAACTCGTGCTGCAGAGGCTTCGGATTGCTTCATAGTGCAGTGCTTAACCCCTTGGGCCACCAGGGAGGCACCCCATTTGTAAGATTTTAATGTGAAATTTCTTCTAAATAAAAAAAAAGTAATCATAACAAGGGTTAGTCACTCACTTGGCTAAGATTGTTAACTGATTTGTGAACCTGTGCCTACAGAATTAAAGTGCATTCTCAAGTCTTAAAATTGGAACTTTTTCGGGCCTCCCCTGGTGGCGCAGCGGTTGAGCGCTGGGCTGCGAGGCTGCCCGCAATCTCTGCAGCGCGGGTTCGTTCCTCGCCTGCGAGGGTCCCACCAAAAAAAAAAAAAAAAAAAAAAAGTCATAACCTTTTCTCATCTCATAGATTATGTTACTTTAGATGTAAATATTTGCAACTTGTCACATCTGGGAAGGCGTGGAAAAATTCCAGTGAGAACAAAAAGGAAGCAATGCTTCAACCTTTGTGTGGTAAATTGCATTTCTCATTCTTTTCTATCTTCCAAACTTTCAGTCTATGTTGGAGATAGTTTGGCAATGCATCATTTTAGTTACTGTGTTAATCACTCCTCAGAGCCTCATTTAACATCCTTTAACAAGAATAGAAACTGCAGCATCTTAAGGCAACAAGAAATTTGCTTCTAGCAATTTGAGGTGCTTTTCATGTTCCAGGTAGATTGGTTATTTATTGCAGAACTTTTGAAGTATAGTTGTAGAATGTTTTAGTGTCTTCAAACAGCACATGAAATAGTGGAAAGTATGTTTCTTTATTCTCAGTCCTTTTGAGTACAAAATGTATGTATAAATAATTCTTCTATCAGAGTTCTCGGTGTTCTGATGCACAGAGTATTTCATTATTCATAGGATTTATGATTGCGGAACTTATCAAGCTTGGTATTGACTTTAGTTACACCTTCATCCTCTTTTAATAAAATCTTCACCACTTAAACTTTCTTAATGTGGAGAGAGGTGTGGGAGCTTAACAAAAATAGTTTGAATAATTGAGGACCACATAACTTTCAGTTAAAATTTTCTCAGTGGTTTTAACTCTGACCTATAAATTTGTAAAGGAGGCAGAACTTTAGTTTCTGTTTTATCATACTGGCAGTACATACAAATCAATTCAGAAGGGTATTCTTTCCCTGCTTTTTTTGTCAAAACTTGCACCTGGTATGGCTTGTCTTTCTGGTTCTGTTTTTTGTTTTTGTGGACTGCTGATAATGGATTTATTTTGTGAACATCCTGTGTTAACCTGTCTAGGTAATATACACTACTGTAACCCATTTAATATACACATCTCTAGAAGGGACTTATACGGAAGGATTGTAGTGCTAGTAATTTGGCTCAGGAGATTTTTTTGGTCTTGCATTGGAAAGGACTGCCAACTATTATTCTTAAGACTGGATAATTAGTTTGGTTCTGGACATTTTATGAGGAGAGAATGTGTTGGACTAGTATTCAAGATTGCCACTGTCATGTTTCTGTAAGGAAGGTAGAGGTGAAACTATTAAGAAGTATTACCTTATATATTACCAAAACCAAAAAAGTACATAGTAACTTTCAAGGTCTTCTGTTAGATGTACTAGATTAGGTCAAGTAATTATTTAATGACTCTAGCTTTATGTGTACTCATTTGCAGGCAGAGTTGGGGTATTTCAGAAAAACTTAAATTCATGTTAAGGAATGTAAATACATGCTAGGATCACCATCTGATTGGTCTGAGATTGGTTCTAGGAATCTGCAGCTTCATTTTGAGGATACTAGAAGTACTCAACAGAAAGGATTTTTCTTTTTTGAGGTAGCATTGGTTTACAACATTGTGATTAAGAGGTATAGGATCTCCCTCTTAAGGGATTGTTACCTCACCACACCCACTACCAAAACATGCATAATCCTCCACCATGCATAGTTCTATATGCAGAGGGAACTTTTGAGAAATTTATTAAGTAAACATTCAGGATTTGATAGCATATTGATTGAGAAAGACTTCTTTTCCTGCGTGTGTGCGCACGCACGCATATGTGTGTTTCCTCTCTGCTTTCTAGAAAAGCGAAAGGGTGGTGAAACATTAATATTTTGAAGTTTCAAAACTGAAAATATATTAAATAATTTGTCATATGAACATGAACAAATTATGAACAAAGCCCATAGGAACTAACTTTAGCACTGTAGCCTGGTGCATAATTAAACAAGGGGGACTTTCCTGTCTTTCAAAACTTTTTATTTTTGTTTTAAGAGTGGCATACAGTTAAAAGTATTTTTCAACTTCTAAAATGGGAAGTTTGGACAACAAAGTAGATATTCATGGCTTGTAATGCAGTATAAAATTGTATTTCATCTTTTTTATCTTATAAAAACAGTTGTGTTATAGGTATGCATTTCTCTTAAAAGAATATTTTTAGCATTTTCTGTCCAAAAATGTGAGCTTACCACCTATTTTCTTCTTGTTCTGTTACCACACTGAAGAAAAAAACTCTTAATAAGTGGAAGATTAGTTTCTCCATATGCTGAAATATGTTCAGTTCTGTTTTAGCTTCTGTCTTAGGTTTTTAAATTTCAGTTAAGGAAAATAGGAATATATAGAAAGCAAGTGTTAACATCATTTAATAGTTGAAGGTTGTGACTTTAGCTAGAAACCAATCCAGTATTTAAGTGGAAAGCAATGATGGAAGTTTTTTTGCTTTACATAACAAGCAAAGGACTTCCAAAACAGTGTCTTGAGAAAGATCGACAGCATATTTTAGGAAACGTTAAAACCAGTCATTATCATCTATCTATAAATGATCCTTGAGAACTCAATCTGAATAGATATATAACCTGAAAGATTGTAAGGAAATTATCATAAGCAAGGAGTGATTTCCTGCTCAGTAATTCAATCAGATACCATCTTTGGAATGTCCCCTTTCTAGTAGAATTTCTGCTAGGCACAGTTACAAAATAAACCATATAAATCTGTCACCAGATAATTCTCACCTCTGTAAGAGACATAATATGAAAGAATAAAGTTTTATTTTCATGCTAATATAACAATATAGAAATATAGATGTGGAAAAAAAAGCAATAAAGCTAACAATGTTCTCATTAAGAAATATATGAACACAATTGTCTGTTTTTTTTTTTTTTTGAAAAGTTTTTTTTTTTTTTTAAGATTTATTTATTTATTCATACAAGCACTGGGTACAGTCAGAAGCATGGGAGGGTGAGAGAATTCACCAGAGCCAGAGAGGAGAGCAGAACACTGGCAGAGTGACGAAGTATACTGCTGAGGGGAGCAGCAGGCGGCAGGAGAGGTCTGCGTGCCATGTGGGACCCTAGCCCTGTGGCCAGGGATGGAGCCGGCACTGCTGAGGC